TGGCCTTAGAGGCAGGCAGGAAAGGAGAGTGATAGGAAGAAAAAGGCAGAGTATGGGGAGATGCGAGCCAGCTGCCGAAGGAGCAACATGTAATGGGACATAGGTAAAGCCACAGAACACATGGCAAAACATTAATAGAAATGGGTTAATTTAATATATAAGAATTAGCTAGCAAGAAGCCGGCCATAGTCCATACAGTTTGTAAATAATATTAAGCCTCTGTTCGTCTGAGCTGTGGGATCAGAGAGACCTTCCGACTACAAAGCACAATTTCTTAAATAGTGAAATAACAAAAGGGTCCCCAGGCATTCTTATTTCTAGAGCCATTCCGGAATGCTAATGCTATAGCCACCAAGTTTGGATATGGGACCTTGCTCTAGAATTATAAATAACAGCTTAGACATTGTTAATAGAACTTTTAAATTAAAAAATCTTAAGAAACCATCTCTAAACATTGGAAATATAGAGGAGGGGGTTTAGGGCCAAACAATAAATAAGTACAAAAATAAATCTTAAAAAAAAAAACAAAACCCACACAGGGAAATACATACATTAATATGGTACGCACTCTTTACCTATAATGATTGGTTACTGACAAGACTTAATTGACAGAAAGCTGTTTTAACTTACAGTATTTTCATAAGTATTAAATCACTTTGGCTCCTTGCAGATTTATTTTTATCATCAGCAAAACAAAATATTCACCTTATTTGCTGAGTAAGAGGCTTCTTTGTGTATTAGTCTTAGAGCTTCAAATATTTATTGCTCATGTTTAAAATAATTTTTTACTGGTTAATTTCCCCAGCTTAACTCAAGTACACTTTAAAATTAAGAGTTAAACTGCAAGGATGATCCCAGCTAAGACTACATACCTCTGTACTACAGAGGTATGTAGTTTGAACTGGCCATCTCCTGTGACAGGCAAGACTTCCAGTGGAGGGATTGGGACACCAACCTAGCCACGTAACCTTTGACCTGCAGTTTGTCCTGCCTACAGGATATGCTGAGTGGCACAGAGATTGTGGGAGTGGCCAATCAATGACTGTTCCAGCCTCACACACATGCCACAAGAGTTAGCTCACACTGACACTGCCCGGAGTACCAGAACCCAGAGGCTGGGTGGCCCAGAGAATTACGATAGAACTAAACACAACCGATAGAACTAAACACAACCGGAGAGAAAAAGATATCAGTGTAATGTTGCCTAATGATATTGTGCTCTACTCAAGAGATTGATGCCTAGCCTGTCATCAGAGAGCCTTCATCCATCAACTGATGGAAACAGATGCAGACAGCCACAGCCACAGATTTGTCCAAGCTCAGGGAATCCTGCTGAAAAGAGAGAGGAAGAACTGTCGGAGCCAGAGGGTCAAGGACATCACAAGTAAACCCACAGAATCAACTAACCTGGGCTCACAGAGTCTGAACTGACCACCAGGGACCCTACATAGTCTCTGAGTCTTTTGGGACCCTATTCTTCATATTGGGTTGCCTTGCCCAGGCTTAAAACCAGGCGACGTGCTTAGTCTTAGTGCAACTTGATATGCATGTTTTGTTGATATCCATGGGAGGCCTGCCATTTTCTGAACAGAAATGGAGGAAGAGAGGGTTGGAGGGTGGATAGGCAAAAGGAGAGGTTGGAGGGACTGGAAAGAGAGAAGGGAAGGGAAACTTTGGTCAGAATGTAAAATAAATAAACTAAACAAATTTTTAAGAGTTAAACACCGCTGGGCAGTAGTGGAGGACGCCTTTAATCCCAGAACTTGGGAGGCAGAGGCAGGTGGATCTCTGTGAGTTCAAGGCCAGCCTGGTCTACAGGGTGAGATCCAGGAAAGGTGCAAAGCTACACAGAGAAACCCTGTCTTGAAAAACCAAAAAAAAAAAAAAAAAAGATTTAAACACCGAAGGCAAAAATTCAAAACACTAGCTAGACTTGTTTTACATAAAACTAAAGTAGTTTATTCTTTTCTCAGGGTAGAAAAAAACACAGAATCAACACTCCTAACCTAATTATGATAAAATTTATACCACGCTGGAAAAATGGGTCAACATTTTATAATTTGCGAATCTAGGTCAGGTCAGCATTTTCCAACTACATTTTATTTAGAACTTCATATGTACTATTGTCTTTCAAAAATGGGAACCGCAAAAACGGAGATAAATATTAGCCTGCAAATACAAATACATCCTATCTACAACAGTGACACAAACTGCTGGAACACATAACCTGTCCTTCAGAATTCAGAGGCTACTGCACATCTGGATTACTTAACACATACATCGATCATTGAGTAAATCAACATTTCTGTTTCAGAAGTGCATAAAGACTCACTTCCCACTACAGAACTTTGGTGGTGAGTCAAGCTACACATCTCTGGCCGTGTCAGTCGCTAGCTAGTCCGAAGGTGGAACTAACACTTGACTAGTTGTTTTTAAAAAAATGGATTCTCCAGAGGATACCTCGATAAAATGACTGAAAAGATATTCGGAAGGGCAAAGAGCAAATCCTACTATGAAAAAATGTATTTTGCAATCAATAAAAGACAAAATAGAGGCCGGTAAAACAGAAAAGCTGAATACTGAGAGGCAGCCATGAATCCCTGGCTGTGCACTAGAACCAATCAAGCTTTAACATACAACCCCCCAAATTTAGATTTAAACTATAAAGAAACTACAATTTCAGGAAACTCAGAAGCATTTTATTGGTGGTTAAGCACTCTGAGAAATCACTGCATCTACATCACATTCCTATTAACCTTGTGCAATGGCTTTCAGAGTGAAGCTCATCAAACATTTTCCTAAGGTTAAATTTATTTATATAATACTAAAGACACATGCTTTTCACTGTCCTTTTCATTGCGAAGACAACCAAAATTATCACCTAAGCTTTTCTCCCACAAACCTGTCTTTACTCTTGGATTTCCTGTGTGATTAATGGCACCTCTGACCAGTAGAAAGGACCAGGATATACAGTGACAAATGGAGCTGCTAATAAGTTTAAGACTTACCCTCTATGCCATTTAAAATCAGTATGGTCTTGGGCAATATCCTTAATTTTTTTTATGTGTTAAAATATTTATGGCCACTAACATCTCTAATAAACATTGTATACAATTATATTTTCTTACATCCCTTAAAAAAGTAAAACTTAGAGATTAACAAAAAGTCCTATAGTTCAATAATACTATCCCACATCCTTGCACAGCCATTCTACATGTACAATATGCGTACAAATACATACAGTTCACCCTCCAATGTGGGTCATGCATCCACGACTCAAGTCATGGATTAAAGAAAAAATTGGAAAAGAAAGTTGCACATGTGCACTAAATACACCAGACATTTTTCTTGTTACTATTCTGTAGGGAGACATGAAGATAAACTTTGAGTCCTGGCTTTACTCTTTAGGTATGTGAGTCTAGGCAACTCAGTCACCCTACTTTTCAGTTCCTTTACCTGTAAATATCTTAGACGTCAGGAGTTGAAAGGAAGACAATGCTTAGGAACTCCTTCTTTAAAACAGAACCTGATACACATCAAGTACTAGTAAATAGGAGCTTATGTTTTGTTATTTTTTTTTTTTTAAAAGTTAAATACCATCAATCTTAAACTAACTTGACTTTACATAGTATGAAGGACAGGATGAGGAACGCACCTTCGACTTGTTCTGTGAGCAAAGAAATTCTACTTCAGTTTCTTGGTAATAGGCAAGAAAGCTTTCTTCTAAGTTTAGTAACAGCTTATTAACAACATCCTTATGGGCAAGTGTATATTATTGTGCGGTAGGTAGCAAAAGAGGCTTCAATGGTCAATAAAACATTAACCCAGAAAACAAAAATGTTCCAATAAATGCTATCTCCTTTACCAGGTGCTAATCTTCTTTAGGAAATAACTCCAACTTATGCATAAACATAAGTAGTTGTCAAGAAAGTAGGAAGGACTAATTGAGCTTCTGACTATGGTTCTAAAGGCTGTATACTGTAGATGATGCTGGAGCAACTTCCAGGAAATCAAATTCACTATCTCTTTACCATAGAAACCCGGGTTGGGGGTGAGGGGGTGAGGGAGGTCATGGCTGCTTTGAGATGATAACACACATATGCTTTCCCTAGTACTATGTTTATAAATGGCTTCTAAATTCACCTAAGTGGTGGTGCAGGGGAATTTGACATTTACCCTAACACTGGCAATACGCCTTCATGCATAGTTTTCAGTATCCATCAGTAATTTCTACTTTATCTATGTCCTGGCCACATGGGGCTTCCCGTTCCTTGCCTTGAACTTTGTTGCTGCTCTTTTGTGATTTGCAGTGCAAACTTTTCTGAGGTCTAAACTATTAAATAATCCACAACACAAACATGAAATCCCAGTGAGGGTGGTGGTCTGCGAGGAAGGCTGTGGCCAGACAATACTATGAGGAAGCACATTAAGCTCCCACATGACAGATTCACCTTTGCAGGGTACTCAAATCACTAAAAACATCCGTTTGCAAAGGAGCACCATCAGAACTGAAAGAATGGTGTGGGAGGGGGCCTATCTCGCCTTGGATTCAACAGGTAAAACGGTGCAGGACCTAGAGTTAAGGAAGACAGCAATCCATTAATTACTACTGAAAGAAGAGGGTTGGGCGAAACACGGAACACATAAAATAAGGGGGGGGAAAGAAACTGAAACTCCAGCGTTTGAGTCAATGTCCACAGAGATAGGTAACCGACTGGTCGAACATGCCACCGCCATTGGACTAAACAACGCAGCAAGGCGACCTCTTCTCGAGAGGCCTAACCCACCACCCGGGCTCTCGGCCTGATGCTCCAGGATGAGCATCGGGGGCCGCAGGACGCCTCGGCCCGTGCAGCCTCGGGTCCCGGAGGATCGGGCTCCCGCCGGGGCTCCCGCGCCCCACAGCGCCCGCACCATCCCCGCCGCCGCCGCCGCCGCCGCGCGCGAGCCCGCAGCCCCTCCACGAAGCTGCACCGCGGCCCCGCAGCCTAGGTTCTTACCATAGTGAGGCCGGTGCTGGTCCAGCCACATCACCCTTCCGGGCCGGGGCGGAAGAGGATGCACGCCCGCTGCGCTTCCCGCTCTCTCCAGCCGCCCGGTTGGGCCTATCGCGGCGCCCCCGCCCAGCCTGTGCCATTCGGACTCCGTGATAGGCTCCCGTGACCGGAAGAGGCGGGCCGTGGGCGGTGCCTCGCCAACCCCGGAAGGAGCGGACTGTCTCATTGGCCGCGCAGGTTTCTCGCTGGGTGCCCACGTTGTTTTTTTTTTTTTTTTTAGGAAACCGGAAGTGGAGTCCCTGAGAGGTAGGGTCCGGAAGTGGCTGTGGCCCTTTTCCCTAAGCAATGCTTTTTACTTGCGCTTTCCTTTTATTTCTTCCCGTTTCAGCCTCCTGTGGTTCCCTGCCATTTACCGTCAAAGCTACTGAGTGCGCGGCGTCTGCCCCGCTGGTGGCCTCTGGGCCTTTCGTTTGTGGACCCTAAGGGATGTCAGGGTCTCCTGAGGGGTGCACCTGTTGGGGTCCCTCCTAGTTTTTCTCTTTTTGTAGTCATTTGGATTTTCAAGAGTGAGAGGCTCGTTGGAAATGTGCTGTGTTACTGTCCGATGGACACGTGTATTCAGAAGGCAGTGTTCAGTATCCACCACCCCTTCAGGCCCCCAATAACTCGCCTTTCCAGGCCCCCTCCTTTTTGCATAGTCAGCTTCCGGGCCTTAGACCTTCTAGGCCCTGAAGAGAGGGAGAGAACTCTATGGTAGCTACTGGAAAGTACCGGCCCCTTGCCTGGGGGAGTAATTGGCTTAGTATAATACCATTAGGTAAGACACTCTTTTACCTCCAGTCTTCCTTATGAGTTTTGTAGATGTGGGGAAGGTGTGTTCAATTATATCTAGTTCTTGGAATGATTTTGAAGTCAGGCATTTTTTCACTCTTTCAAGTGTCTTAAAATTATGGAAACCCTGTGTATCCAAATACTGGCTTTTCCCCCTTAGGCAGTATGGGTTTCATGTTTATTCAGAATGTTACCCGTTCTTTAATTAATTGGCCTAGATGATGTGTAGAAAGCACGAGTGAAGAAAACTGACGTGATACATTGATTTATGAGCACTATTCAGCTGAATCATGAGAATGCAATACTTAGGGCAACGCATTATTTTTACTTAGTGCTATATGTGATTGTTTGTTATTGTATGGTATCTGAGATTTTGTTTGGAATTATAACTAGATTTTTAAAAATAAACTATTCTCAGTTGCTGAAAGTTTGTCAAATACTCAAATTAAGGATCTTTATTATTAGTGGTATCGAGACTGCAGCAGAGGAGGGATGTTTCTTTGAGTATTTTAATGGGGGGATAGGGAGGAAGGCAATAGGAAATGATACAGTACCTTCCACATGTTATTTAATAATTTCAAAATTGCTTGTGTTATACCTTACTATTCAAGTTGAATAAACAGGAACGTTTCAAATGTAGTTGTAGAAAATATGTCCTGCAGCTCAGTAAGTTTAGCTTCTGTAGTAGTGAAAAGTGTGGGGAGATGTTATAGATGACTTTGTTCATGTAAAGATTGCTACGTGCTACCCTTTGACACTCCCGATTGATATTTCTGTATGAGGCTGTGTTTCAGGCTCTGGTGAAGAGCACAGGAAGCTGAAGTTGTTAGAGATAGTAATTTGTTCCTTGTATTTATGGACAATTTAGGCCATAGTTTCTTACATATCTTGAAAGTAGTAGCAAATGCAGTTTGTCAGCTGTTAAGTTATCCATAGAAGTACATACTGTGGGGAGATAAAGCTGAATACATGTGTGTGGTGTTTATTGTTTTCATGTAAAATAGCAAAATTAACCTAACATAATAAGATCTGTGGGGAAGCTGCAAGGTAGTTAAGCACACGGAGACTCTGATCTTGATTTTGATTGCCAGTGATGGATTTCTTCCTCCTTTCCTTCTCCTTCCCCTTCCTTCCCCTTTCTTCCCCTTCTTCCCCTCCTTGCCCTTCTTTCCCTTCCCCCTTTTCCCCTTTCCTCTTTCCCCTTCCCTCTTCTTTCTCCTTCCCTTCCCTTCCCTTCTTCCCTTCCCTTCCCTTCCCTTCCCTTCCCTTCCCTTCCCTTCCCTTCCCTTC